TAGAATGAGTAGGTGAAGGTCTATTGGCGTCTCTGCGCGTAGCGCGGTTGACGTCCGAGTCCGACTCTTGCAATGAACCAGACGGGTGAATCGAAATAGCGCCGCCTGATTCCCGGTCAAATTCCCGATCTTCGGCCTCCGCTTGCGGGGGAATTGGGAGTTGTTGTGGCGCCATCGCCGCCAACTGAGCCGACAAAGCCTGAAAACCTTTCAGCAATAAATCCGATGTATTGTCTCTCCGCCCGCGTTTGCGATGACGCGGGTGGTCCGACGACTGGCCAGAAGTCGGCGACGTACTGGCACTGTCGCTCGTTGAAGAGCTAGAATAACGGCGGCGGCGGGATTTATGGGCCCGGCGCCGTTTATTCTTTGGCCGTGATCGATTTTCCGATCCACGGTGACGAGCCATTAAATCAGAAATTCCCGAAGGAACGTCCGAAAGAACCCCGGGCGCCACCGGTGCACGATTATCAGGACCGGGTGCCGGGTTCAACGCGGCAGCCGTCAGACCGATAGGGCCCGGTTCCGCTCGGTTCCCCAGACCAACGGTCGGGGCCGAACGTAAACGCGATGGGCCGATCGGTTTTTGTTTCTTCGGGTTTGCGCCCTCAACCGGTGGCTGAGGACAACCCGGGGAATCCCCTTCGGAGCAATCTGCTCCCGGGGAAATCCCGGCGTCGGCCGCCGGGATTGCCGACGTAGACCGACGTTTTTCTCGGTTTGCCGACTCATCGGCCCGGGAGCTCGCAGACATCCGTCTGGCCCCGGTTTGTACCGAGTCAGGGCCGGTGGTTTTCGGCGCATCGCGCCCACTACCGGTCCTTTTCCTTCCCTTATGGGGACTGGCCTGCGACACTTCCGTGCCCGAAACCTGTCCCCGGGAAAGACTTGCGGCACTGGAACCCTCGGCCATCGGCCCGGCTCCAGTCCGCGAAAGCCCCGTCGCGCGTCCAGGAATGGACCGCGGCGGCTCCGTACTTACCCGCTTCGATGACTTCTTTTTCCGTCCAGAAGTGGTGGAAGCTTCACTTCTTGCCGAGTCTGTAGATTTCGCTAGCCAGGTGTCAATCTTCGTCCACATTTCGGAGCCCCATGGCTCGCAAATGGAACACCTAAGAGCTCTAGAACATGGCCTACACTTAGGACATAATTCGTGGGAGTCGTCTAGGCTATTCGGCAAAATCTTGTGACATTTATTACAAGTCACGAAATTTTTGGGAGGCATTTTGTCAAAGACCCCAAAAACCAGAACAGTCTCAGAACTACAATGTATAGTAGGATTTTCTTCAAACTGTAAGGATAAAAAAATACAAACATATACGTATCCGTTAATGTTCAATGTGTACACGCAAAAACACGAGGTCATAAAACGAAATAAAAACGTTTATAAAACTCGTCTAAAACACAAGCAAATGTAACCAGAAACAAACCAAGTGCTTCCGAGAAACAAATGTATTGCAAATCTTGAGAAAATTAATAACAAATAGCGATTAAAACCAGTAAAAACGTGCATGCTACTGCGAGCATTGAAAACACGTCCTACCGTCACGAGCGCTAAAGAGAAGAGGACGGTAATGGCGGGGGATCTGACTATTGTGGGCGCTGGCGCAGGAGGGCGCTGTGGCACGCTATAGCAAATCTTTACTTTAGCGGTTAATTTCGGTCCTACTAAAGCGCGTCAACAAGCGTCAACAGGCGTCAACAAGCGTCAACAAGTTTTAGTAGTCGTTAAGTGCGCGTCAACAAATTTTTTATAGGCTTTTGAACAATAAAAACAGCTTTATATGGTAGAAAAAGCAATAATGAACATCTTCTGAATATCAATTAAAGTAAAAATTACTTAAAAAGTGGTTTTCCAGCGCGAAATCTACGACAGGTTTTTCGGTTTAGTATTGGCCGCCATCTTGTTTGAGATCTACATACTACGCATGCGTGGAGTGTACCATTCACACATAGGGGTTTCTTTATACTATACGCTTTGCGTTTGGTTTTTGCATTGGGATTTTTTGGCAGACATTGTGAACAGTGTCAGTCGGCATATTTTTCAAATAATTAGCCAAGTACCGTGACCAAGTTTTGCATAATTTATAATTGAAAAAAAAAATAGTTTTCCTAATTTTTAGAATTGAATATTTTCTGTATCGCTAATCGTATCGTATAAAGAAACCCCTATGCATGAATGGTACACTCCACGCATGCGTAGTATGTAGATCGCTTTAGATCGCTGTAGATCTCAAACAAGATGGCGGCTAATACTAAACCGAAAAACCCGTCGTAGATTTTGCGCTGGAAAACCACTTTTTAAGTAATTTTAACCTTAATTGATATGCAGAAGATGTTCATTATTGCTTTTTCTACCATATAAAGCTGTTTTTATTGTTAAAAGGCCTATACAAAATTTGTTGACGCGCACTTAACGACTACTAAAACTTGTTGACGCTTGTTGACGCGCTTTAGTAGGACCCGTTAATTTACATAGTTAAGGAAATATGCATTTATAGGTCCAACAGGTAAGTAGGGAACGAAGTGGACATCGGCATACATTTTCCAGTTTATGTATATTAACGTTTTGAAGAGCTCCCTCATCATGACCCTGGGTACCAGCGCCCCCCTCCCCCTTTTTCATTTTACGGTCGCCAAGTGTCCGGAGAAAGAAAAATGTTGGCCGCGGATGTGCGAGTGCGGATGCCTCCCCCAGTTGGATACGCCATCACTGAGCAATATTATAGTCCAGCTCATGTGTGAGGCAGAAATGTAAACCTTCACTTTGTATATTATCTGATTCACTTACGACGGAAACAATCGTTAACATTAGAGGGCTCTGAGATCTGGCGTAGACAGAAGGCCACTTTTCGGCCGCCAGGTTCTTTTCAGCTGGCAGAACGGCCGCAAATACTGAGAAACGTCGAACTTTTCATCTGCTTTTCTGCTCTGGGGGAGCTCCTCCCCACAAACTCAGGATTTGGAGACGGCAAAATAGACTCGAGACACAATGACGTCACGCTTTGTTTACATGTGCACTTTCCTATGGGAGGTTTGTGGGTCTCGTCTTCACATCACTAACCCACACCCAAGCATGCACGACCAGCTGATAACATCAAATGGTTACCCCCCATCCAATTGCCAACGCAACGACAACCCAGTACAAGTCCCCGTACTTACCCGTAATCAGCTGTAAGTTGCATGGCAACTCCTCCCTCAAATGCCGGTGGAAGCAGAACCAACCATCCAGTCAATCTGTAGTTATAATCCACAAGCTATATCCGTCAAGTTTGGCTTAGTTTCAGGAAAACATTTCCACAAGATTTCGGTAAAGATCCAGGAGCGAATATCTGCAGTGATTCAACAGTTCAAGCCCTTCTTGAAGCAAGTCTTGCACCAAAGCCAAAGCAGCTGGCCTAGCCCCAAGGCGGGAACGTTGTCCTTGTTCTCCCTGTCTTGTCAATGAACTCAGCCAAGCGTACCAAGTCCAGAGCCAACGTTGATTCAGCTCGGCTTGATTGACGGCTACCCTTTTCACACTTTACCGCGATGAGGGCACAATGGTTTCCCTGGAAGCCCGGCCCATGTGAGCCCACCAACTGGTTTGGGTATTCAGTAAGGGCCCTTTGTGGTTGTCTAATCCCCCGTTCAAGAAAACAATGGGTAGTAATTATGCAAATAAGGGTGGGTAGGCTGTTGCTGCTGCTGATACGCAGTTACGGGAGCGCTGGGGGAGTTCTATTATGGTAAGATGTGGTGAGACCATACTATGGGAATGGTTTGGTATGGGATATTTGTCACTATAGGTGCACACCTGGACTCAAGATGCGTTCAAAGATCAAGAGCAGCTGTGCGCTGCATAAAAACCAACTCAAACCCTGCAAACTCGGACTGCATGCCAACTCGGCCAATATAAACCAACTCGGCGTGAGTTGGCAGTTTCCAAGTTGGCATGTGCCCGAGTCGGTGTGGGTCCGAGTTGGTTTGGGTTCGAGCCATAGAGCTATATACAGCTGTGGCGCAGTAAAGATGGTTTAGCTCTGACAAGAGGAACGTTGTTAGCGTTCGTGTAGGTCTTATGTTTCCACTTTTTATCTTTCTGTTATAAATCTTGAAACTTCCAGCTTCTTGGCTTATCTAGGGTTTGTCCTCAGTATTCTTTTTATTTTAAGTCAAATACGCTCACGTGTTTGATTGGAAATTGTCCCGAGCCCTAGCCTTCAATTAATGACCAATTCTTGGGATCGGGGGGGGGGGGGGGGGGGGAGGGGGGGGTTGTAAGCGTTCGTGTAGGTCTTATGTTTCCACTTTTTATCTTTCTGTTTTAAATCGTGAAACTTCCAGCTTCTTGGCTTATCTAGGGTTTGTCCTCAGTATTCTTTTTATTTTAAGTCAAATACGCTCACGTGTTTGATTGGAAATTGTCCCGAGCCCTAGCCTTCAATTAATGACCAATTCTTGGGATGGGGGGGGGGGGGGGGGGAAGGATCGGGGGGGGGGGGGGGGGTTAACTCTGTCCTGCAATATAGGATACACCCGGGGGGGGGGGGGCGTACCAACTCGGACCCAAACCAACTCAAACCCTGCCAACTCGGACTGCATGCCAACTCGGCCCATAAACCAATTCGGCGTGAGTTTGCATGTTTCCGAGTTGGTAGTGTGTCCGAGATGGCGTGGGTCCGAGTTGGTTGGGTTCGAGCCATAGAGCTAAAACTTGGTCCCGGTGCTCTGACCCTGCTCCTTAACCGCTTATTGCACTTGTGTCGCTTTAAAAATTTAGGTTCAATGCAACTGAATCAAAACAAACGAAATTTGATTTTAATTATAATAGCAGCACTTCAGATTGATTTGAATTTGTTATCAAACTATCGTTATTCAATATACAGTAATGGTCAGAAGTCAGTACCACCTTTTATTCAAGACTATCATTTCGTTTTGATTCAGTCACATTGTTTGGTTTTTATCTATAAACATAACCGAAACTACCAAACAGAGAAAACAACGAATTGACAAGTTAAACTATTTCATAGTATCTTTGTTGTTTAATAGCTGGATCACCATTCTTCAACTATTCACGTAATACAATTATTATCAGCAATTAAAGTAAACATTAGAATAATTTTAAAGAACCTTGAGCCCATGCCTACATATAAAAAGGTAATGAAAAATATACAAAATATACAAAAGATCATGTTTGTTGTGTTGATCATGCTCATAAACCTTAGCTATAGTCTTACATAATATGACTCGGCATTTGAAAATCTTTTGTGATTTTTTTTGTACATTAACACAGAATTCATTTGCATTTTGCTTTATGTTCTTTTAAATATTTTGAACGAGACCTGGATACGGTGACTTCCCTCTTTTTTTTGGGGGGGGGGACTTTTATCAATCGTGAACATACACAATACTATCGTATACACAAATTACATAGAGTTCACAATTCCAAGTACGTCATTATCTTGTGTACACAAATACAAGTATCGTGTATCAAGTATCGTGCAAATGGATGCACTTTTCAGGAGACCATGGAGGAATAAAGACATAGGTTATATCCACATAATATCGTAGAGGTACTTGGAAATTGTACGTATTCACGAAAGCAAATTATACGGCGTGCAAAGATAATCCTTTTAAAAAATCCATAGCCCACCTCCAGTTTTTAATAAAGATTTCTATTAAAAATACAGATATTTCATTTCTAACTTTGAGCTATTTCTATTGAGATAGAGATAAACTGAGATCTCTTAGAAAGAGACATCTTTTTAAACTTAAGGAATTTATTATTATTTTTTATTTTGGCCTGCATAAAAATAACATAACTAATGTATACGTATACATTCGTTCCGTTTACGTACATCATACATGTATAACTGTGTGTACCTACAATCTAATAGTACCGTTTACTATTATAGGTACTTGAAAACAGAACTGAGGTAACGTACATGATAGTATTGTGTATAAAGTAGCGTACACCAAAGAATTCAATAAAAAAACATACAATGTATTCACATTTCGTTGTATATCTATTTGGAAAATGTCTAAGTCAATTAAAAACAAGAATTTAGGTTGACATCCGAAGAGTAAAAAAAATACAGGTAAAAACCCGAATTGGAAATTTTGTTAATCCCATAATTTTCACAGGCCTAATAATATAGCGATCGAAGCCAAATACAAATTGTTTTGAAGTGTTTGAAGCAGATAGATAACCATAAAGAGAAAGCCAATTAAATGGAGCTGCTAGACAGAGAATTAATCAAAGCTAAGAAAATATTCGCTTACCAATATATGCTTATAGCCAAAGTGTTGTGCAATGCATACTGCCGAGTGTTTTTTTTTCAGCTGATTTTGCTAAGCGCATATATTTTCTGCTTACCAACTCCATGCTATTTTACAGTGAACCTGAACCATTTCCTTATATCTTCAATTTACTGGCTCGGTAAAGAGTACATTCATGATTCAATATCCCCAACTGTTTTGACATCTTGAAAGTTTATGAAAACGGAACACTTTAAAGTCAATACAATACATTCGTCTGACAATACATTTTGTCTGACATGTTTGATTTTAGTTAAATTTTCTCAACAATGCTACGAGGATTTTCTATATAAGTCATTCTAGATGAATCCGGGCACGTGAACACTTTACATTCACGAGGCCCCCTTCAATGGAGAAACAATAGCTAGCACAATGCTTTCGCCATTGATGGGGGCCTCCGTGATAGAATTTATAGCGTGCCAGGATTGGTCTATAAGATTATGCTGGTTATCATGGAAAATCCTAGGATTCAATATCGGCCACTTTGTCTACATTATTGATATACTTTTATAGAAATGTACACAGATGAGAAGCTTTTAATAACATAATTATGTAATTTATTTCTTGCATGATAATTTTTTTTTTTTATTCTCTGAACACAACAAATATCTTTGTGAATCCTAAGACAATTGTTCATATACTGAGCCAGCCTGCGATAGGTTAGGAAGATAGTCAATCACAACAGGGTCGGTGTCAGCTGAGTTCTTGTCGTCACTCAAAGTTGGACGTGAAAGGCCGTTCCAGATTTCAGAAGTTACCTTCGTGTAGTTAAACAAAGAAAAGAGCAAATTAACTTAGGCATCAAGTGTACAGTTAACACGTTTTGTTTTGTTGCTCAACAGAAACAAAAGACCTTAGCGAACAAGTCGAATCAAGTTATTAACCTAGGTTCAGTCGATCAATTGATCACCTGATCAATTTCACGTTTTAAATGCTAATTTAAGCTTGGTGAACGGTAGTCAATAATTTTGGAAACTTCAAGGAAACTTCTGCTTTTGTATTCCGGGTGTTAGAGATCAGTACAACAGTGGACAAACAATATGCTAATGGGTGGACGGACTGACAAACTGAGGCTAGCATTGACATGAGAGGATAGGCACCTAACTTTATAAGAAAAACACTAATAACAACATAGCCACACTCGTTTTTTCGTATTGTGAAGAGAATGATAAAGGTGTACATGCAAATTGTACCCCATAATCAACCGTTCACTCAAAGGACGAACATGTTGCTGTTGAGAACATGACATGTAAGCAGTTATTACCTCCACGCATCAACATGGCGATTGGGGAATTCCGGGACACGAAGCCATCGCAATGTAGAGCGGATGATCCCACAAACTTGGAGCTGTATCTGTGTTGCAAAATAAAAAAAAATCGGGGAAAGATTTATTCCTGACACGTCTGAACACTGCACTGTTTCAAGGCCATACACACCACGCCTTTCTTCTTTTTGCCTAGTCGGGCAGATTGTTGCACAATATGATGAAATTGTTCATTTGATCATAAAAACATGAAATTTGGCACTGTCACCGTAGTATGTCATGGGAAAGATATTTTGCTATTCGCAGACTGTCCTTTTGAAAATTTTGAAAATTGCTTACTATTCTTTGGTGGTTTTTCAAAGGACAAATTTTACTCCTTTATCAAACAGAAAATCTTATCACCAATTTGCTGTACTAAAGTCAATCTGCTGTACTAAAGGATTTGATTTAATGGTCCCCTATCAGGCAGATCCTGGCACAAACAGCCGCTGAAATGAAGCAGGCTGCGCGTGCCAGGACCGCCTGCGCGTCTGGAAAAAAATAATTCAAATTCAGTCTTGGGCCAATGCTTACCCCATCACCGTTTTAGTTGACTGGCTTCCATGTAGAAACGGCATACAAAGCTCATCCAGTGGGGTCATCGCTCAGTTTCCCTCCTGGCTTGCATTCTCATTCGTCATCTCAGCCAGGTGAACTTGGGATGCTGCAGTCTCCTCCTCATCCAGCTCGTCTTAGGATGGTTACGCCACTCCCGAAACACTGTGTAAATCTCGTGCTGTTGAAGACAAAAAAACTCGGCCTTTGCTGGGCAAGGTTAGTATTTATTCCAACTACATGTATCACAAGTCGTCGAGTCAACTCCAAGTCACGTCATTTGGTCTTTCGTCACCTTACCATAGGCCTGACTATTAACTGTTCTTAGGCCAAGCTAAATGAAAAAATTAATTACAACTTACACAAAATTTACCTTTTTCTTCACATCTTTCTCATCCACGAGAAGAGATGCGGCACTCCAGCGACAAAGTGTTCTATGTCTTCCAATTACCTGCCTGTTATTTGTAGTGTTTAATGATCCCTTTATTTTGTACTGCTACAATCAAGATGCGCGCCTTGAAAATTAAAGGGATAGTAATAACATACATGTTTTGGCAATTGCATGCCGACCTTGAATGATCGGACTTACGCAAAAAAATTTTAAGCAAGTTGACCTATCAGTCAAAATTTCGTCATGGGAGAAAAATGTTATTACATGTACAATATTCACATTCGCGATTGTGGCCAACAATTTGAATGAATCTGTTGTCCTCATACATAACAGTGCTTTTAACCTTGGACTGATGAGCTCGTCAACACAAACCAAAAGGAGCGTGTATACCGCGTTCATACAATAAGGAAACGACGGTTATGGTAAACACCAAAACACCAATAGAAAATTATACACAATATAGGTCTTGTCCTTATATAAACAAGCTAAACACAGCTGATATATGAAACAGATAATACTATGTTGTTGCTTTTTTCGAATCCCAGTGCCAACCATTCTGGTCGGACTTACAAGTTGGTTTTACATTCATTTTGACATGGGCGTTTGGAAAGATACGAGGAGCAAAACGGAATTTCTTTCTTAGTGCGCCCCTTAACACGATGCACACACCATCCTTTACACGTCAAAAGGGAACTTCAGTATACATATAAAGTTCTTACCCGTGCCGACCTGTGTTGGTCGGACTTACAACTCACTTATATGTAAATTCTGAAAAGGACAAAAATTGTTACGACTTATAAGTTGTATTTGGAAAGACACGAGGAACAAACAGAAGTTCTTCCTTTCTGCGCCCCATAATAAGATGCACACACCGTCCTCCTATTAGAAACATGTCCAAAAGGAACAAAGTTTTACATATATATGTGATTTTTTTTACCCGTGCCGACCTTTCCTGATCGGACTTACAACTCACTTATATGTAAATTCTGAAAAGGACAAAAATTGTTACGACTTATAAGTTGTATTTGGAAAGACACGAGGAACAAACAGAAGTTCTTCCTTTCTGCGCCCCATAATAAGATGCACACACCGTCCTCCTATTAGAAACATGTCCAAAAGGAACAAAGTTTTACATATATATGTGATTTTTTTTACCCGTGCCGACCTTTCCTGATCGGACTTACAACTCACTTTTTAATACATTTTGACAAGAACAAATACTTTTACTTAAACGTTTTTACATTTCGAGAAGAAAAAAAAAAACAACACCTTTACGTTTTCCGCCAATCTTGCAGATCGGACTTACAAAAAAGGCATGATTGTGTCACATTTATACCCGAGTCGAAAACGGCCGATTTAACCGGCTTTATTTTCTTGGCGTTATTTTCTTGACTGACGCATTTGTTAGTCGACTCGACTGCTCTTAGTTTAAATTACTCCCCAAAAATGTAATTTGCAATTCATCTGTTCTGTCCTTGCACCGTGCTCTTAATCTTCACAGATAAAACACGTCAACACAAGGAAACGCTGCTTAGAGGTAAACAACAAGACATCAGTAAGCTAAACACACTATAAGTCCTTACAAAATATCAATTAATAATGATGACATGATTTCTTTGCCATGCCGACCTTTTCTGATCGGACTTACAAATTGTTTTTTATGTGTAACATTTGACAAGAATAAGAAGCAAAACAGAACAATACCCATACGAAGGTATGATTGACAGCTGTTGAAATTATGCCGAAACAATTACGAGACTTCAAAAACGGTGTCCGAATAGGGTATTATTTTCTCCCCATATCGGTGAATTATTTTGTGAACGGAGGCAACGAAAGCAAATTTAATCCTGCCTCGACACGGTTCATATACAACAAAACAATACATTTTATGTCCCCGTTTGCCAATCTTTTCCGATCGGACTTACCAAAAAAGGCGTAATTTATTTAAACATTAAAAATATGTAAATGAAGTACCGGCCGTAAATCATTTCGTCAATTTAACAAAGATTGCACGGTCAATCGATTCAACAAAGGATTTTGTGGATCACTCACCTCGCAACTTTACCATTGATTGCGGAGTTGGTAATTTCGTAAAAATTTTCGTGCCATTTGACGCAAGAATTGAATCCCAGATTGCCAAGTGGAGATATGGAGGAGTAGCGAATCTCCTCGTGCTTGTAATTCTAACGGATAGTAATAATCCTTCGCGAATTTATTCGACACATCCTATCAATCATTCCGTGAAGTTTTTCGAGAATTCCAACGTGAATCGGTCATTTGACGGGGCGATTCCGCTTTGTGATATTTGTGGGAGATTGCCGAGTGATCGAGTCGCTCTGATTTTTATGAAATTTGTCGGGTGACTCAACTCGCTCGTGATTTTTACCCAAAGCTTGATAATTTCAATGAATCTGCTCTGTCCCCATACAGTGCTTCTAACCTTGCACTGTTGAAACGTCAACGCAGACCAATATATACCGCCTTCATACAATAAAGGAACGCTACTTTAGTAAACACCAAACACCAGTGTGAGTTGTACTCGCCAGTCCAAAAAAACTCAATAATGACATGATTTCTTTGCCATGCCGATCTTTCCTAATCGGACTTACAAGTCGTTTTTTTACATTAAAAAGAGAGATGAGGAGCAAAACGGTACAATATCCAAACGAAGGTAGGTTTCACTCTGTAGGATTGACAGCTGTTGAAAACTGTGTGCGCGATGGGGTACTGTCCCCATAAGAAAATATCTGTTAATTATTTTGTGAGAACAGAGGCAACGGAAGGTAATTTAATCCTGCCTGCTCACATACAACAAACATTACATTTTTATGTCCCTGTTTGCCAATCTTTTCCGATCGGACTTACCAAAAAGGAGTAATTTATGTAAAAATATGTTAAAAAAGTACCGGCCGTAAATCATTTTGTCCATTTAACACAGATTGCACGGTCAATCGATTCAAAAAAAGATTTTGTGGATCACTCACCTCGCAACTACATCATAGATTACAGGGTTGGTAATTTCGTAACATTTTGATCTAGCGTGAATCAATTCGTTAATTTTAATGTCCACACTTTCGTCAATATTTGATTTAGGAAGACACCCTCTGTTTCGAGTTAAATTCACAATACTGCCATTTGCCTTAAAGAAAGTTTACGATAAAATTGGGGCAGCAGACCCGCCACTGCCATTTGCCTGATAGAAAGTTTATGATTACATAGGGGCAGCAGACCCGCCACTGCCATTTGCCTTATAGAAAGTTTATGATTAAATTGGGGCAGCAGACCCGCCACTGCCATTTGCCTTATAGAAAGTTATGATTAAATTGGGGCAGCAGACCCGCCACTGCCATTTGCCTTATAGAAAGTTATGATTAAATTGGGGCAGCAGACCCGCCACTGCCATTTGCCTTATAGAAAGTTTATGATTAAATTGGGGCAGCAGACCCGCCACTGCCATTTGTCTTATAGATATTTATGATTAAATTGGGGCAGCAGACCCGCCACTGCCATTTGCCTTATAGAAAGTTTATAATTAAATTGGAGCAGCAGACCCGCCACTGCCATTTGCCTTATAGAAAGTTTATGATTAAATTTGGGCAGCAGACCCGCCACTGCCATTAGTCTTATAAAAAGTTTATGATTAAATTGGGGCAGCTGACCCGCCACTGCCATTTGCCTGATAGAAAGTTTATGATTAAATTGGGGCAGCAGACCCGCCACTGCCATTTGTCTTATAGATATTTATGATTAAATTGGGGCAGCAGACCCGCCACTGCCATTTGCCTTATAGAAAGTTTATGATTAAATTGGGGCAGCAGACCCGCCACTGCCATTTGCCTTATAGAAAGTTTATGATTAAATTGGGGCAGCAGACCCGCCACTGCCATTTGTCTTATAGAAAGTTTATGATTAAATTGGGGCAGCAGATCCACCACTGTCATTTGTCTGATAGAAAGTTAAAGATTAAATTGGGGCAGCAGACCCGCCACTGCCATTTGCCTCATAGAAATGTGTATGTAAATTGGGGCAGCAGACCCGCCACTGCCATTTGCCTGATAGAAAGTTTATGATTAATTTCGGGCAGCAGACCCGCCAATGCCAATTGTCTTTTAGAAATTTATGATTAAATTGGGGCAGCAGACCCGCCACTGCCATTTGCCTTATAGAAAGTTTATGATTAAATTGGTGCAGCAGACCCGCCACTGCCATTTGTCTTATAGAAAGTTTATGATTAAATTGGGGCAGCAGACCCGCCACTGCCATTTGCCTAAAAGAAAGTTTATGATTAAATTGGGGCAGCAGACCCGCCACTGCCATTTGCCTAAAAGAAAGTTTATGATTAAATTGGGGCAGCAGACCCGCCACTGCCATTTGTCTTAAAGAAAGTTTATGATTAAATTGGGGCAGCAGACCCGCCACTGCCATTTGCCTTATAGAAAGTTTATGATTAAATTGGGGCAGCAGACCCGCCACTGCTGTTTGTCTTATAGAAAGTTTATGATTAAATTGGGGCAGCAGACCCGCCACTGCCATTTGTCTTAAAGAAAGTTTATGATTAAATTGGGGCAGCAGACCCGCCACTGCCATTTGCCTTATAGAAATGTATGATTAAATTGGGGCAGCAGACCCGCCACTGCCATTTGCCTTATAGAAAGTTATGATTAAATTGGGGCAGCAGACCCGCCACTGCCATTTGCCTAAAAGAAAGTTTATGATTAAATTGGGGCAGCAGACCCGCCACTGCCATTTGTCTTAAAGAAAGTTTATGATTAAATTGGGGCAGCAGACCCGCCACTGCCATTTGCCTTATAGAAAGTTTATGATTAAATTGGGGCAGCAGACCCGCCACTGCCATTTGTCTTATAGAAAGTTTATGATTAAATTTGGGCAGCAGACCCGCCACTGCCATTTGTCTTATAGAAATTTATGATTAAATTGGGGCAGCAGACCCGCCACTGCCATTTGCCTTATAGAAATGTATAATTAAATTGGGGCAGCAGGCCCGCCACTGACATTTGCCTTATAGAAAGTTTATGATTAAATTGGGGCAGCAGACCCGCCACTGCCATTTGCCTAAAAGAAAGTTTATGATTAAATTGGGGCAGCAGACCCGCCACTGCCATTTGTCTTAAAGAAAGTTTATGATTAAATTGGGGCAGCAGACCCGCCACTGCCATTTGCCTTATAGAAAGTTTATGATTAAATTGGGGCAGCAGACCCGCCACTGCCATTTGTCTTATAGAAAGTTTATGATTAAATTTGGGCAGCAGACCCGCCACTGCCATTTGTCTTATAGAAATTTATGATTAAATTGGGGCAGCAGACCCGCCACTGCCATTTGCCTTATAGAAATGTATAATTAAATTGGGGCAGCAGGCCCGCCACTGACATTTGCCTTATAGAAAGTTTATGATTAAATTGGGGCAGCAGACCCGCCACTGCCATTTGCCTTAAAGAAAGTTTATGATTAAATTGGGGCAGCAGACCCGCCACTGCCATTTGTCTTAACGAAAGTTATGATAAAATTGGGGCAGCAGACCCGCCACTGCCATTTGTCTTATAGAAAGTTTATGATTAAATTGGGGCAGCTGATCCGCCACTGCCATTTGCCTTATAGAAAGTTATGATTAAATTGGGGCAGCAGACCCGCCACTGCCATTTGCCTTATAGAAAGTTTATGATTAAATTGGGGCAGCAGACCCGCCACTGCCATTTGTCTTATAGAAAGTTTATGATTAAATTGGGGCAGCAGACCCGCCACTGCCATTTGTCTTATAGAAAGTTATGATAAAATTGGGGCAGCAGACCCGCCACTGCCATTTGCCTTATAGAAAGTTTATGATTAAATTGGGGCAGCAGACCCGCCACTGCCATTTGCCTTATAGAAAGTTTATGATTAAACTGGGGCAGCAGACCCGCCACTGCCATTTGCCTTATAGAAAGTTTATGATTAAATAGGGGCAGCAGAC